TGCCCTATAGCCACGCAATTATTATTTTCACATGCTAATATTAGTTGTTCACCAACATTGTATACATTAGAAACAAAATATGATTCTTATCTTTTAGTGTCTTTTTTTCCTTAGGTAATTGTAATTTTTGCGTGTAATTTTGAATTAAATATTAAGTTCTTCATTTCTGCTGCTCAAACTTCTTTTTACTGTGTATCCCAAATAGAATTAATCAGATTAAACAAGGATCATGATTATCAGGTAGTGTATAAAAGTAGAGCTTTCTACCTACTGAAAATTTTCTTTTTGAAGAAAACATACCTATAAGAAATTAATTTGATATCTTTTGAAATGGTACGCTAAGTTTCTATAAGCAAGTGTAGCTATATCATCAGCTAAGAGAACTTAAAGCTCAAAACATTAAAAAAAAACCTTAAGCATTGAAGACTGTTTATATATGAGCGATAGTGCAGAAGAAATATCATGTGGAAATTCTAAAATACAAAAAAATTTTTGAGAAGGCCTTCCTCCCTAGCAAAGAAGGCAAAAACAGATCCAAGATCAGAACCATTACAATTAAAAGTGCAACTCAGGCGCCCCCATTAAAGCAAGTATGTTTTATTTCTTTGTAATAGAATCTGTGAGATCCCAAGAATCTTGTCTACAGCAGGAGAGAGTAATCACTATGCAGAGTGACTTCAGATCCCTAGAAATTTAAGATTTAAGTCTTTTCCATAACTAATCATTGTCTGTCGTTTCCATAACTAATCATAATCATTAAAAAGGATGTATATACTGTAGACTCTATGACCTGCTAATCTTTTTACATCATTCAAATATTTTTTTCAAATAAAAAATAGTGGTAACAGCAAATGCCTGAGGAGATGAGGAGAAACTAGATCTTTCATACATCACTGATGGGAATGTTAAATAGTTCAGCCACTCTCTTCATTAGTTGGGTAGTTTCTTACAAAATATACACTTCTCACATACAATTATATATCAAAATATAAATATTTACCAAATATATTTACCAAAATATAAATATATACTTACCATGTTAACCAATAATCTCATTCTTGGGCATTGTCTCAAAGAAATGAAAACTTATCCACATAAAAACCTTTACTTGAATGTTTATAGCGGCTTTATTTTTAATAGCAAAGATACTGGCAACCCAAATACCCTTTAATCAGTAAATGACTGAACAACATAGAACATATAGCAACATACAACATATAATGCTACTCATCAATAAAGGGAATGTACTCTTGATACATGCAATAATCTGGATGGTCCTTGAGGACATTTTTCTTAGTGAAAAAAATTAATTCCAGAAGGTTACAAAAGATTTCATTTTTGTAACATTCTCAAAACTGTAGATATGAGGAGCAGATAGCTCTAGGGCACAGCCACGGTGAGGGTGGGGTATGCGGGGGGTGGGGGTAAGGGAGAATAGAAAGTGGGAACAAATACAAAGAGTAGCATGAGTAAGTTCTTGATTGGTGATGGAACAGTTCTGTATCTTGACTGTGGTAGTTACACCAATCTATACATTGGTTAAAATTGCACTAAACTGTGAACATGCACTGATGAACACAGGTTAATAAAAAAAAGTGACACAAACCTTTTTCTTTCAAATGCAGCAGCAACTCTTTGCTCTCCTTTTCCTAATAAACCTATCCTTTGAAAATATAAAAGAAAAAAAATGTTGAAAAAGAATTAGGTCTGTAATTATACTTGTTAGTTCCTGGTTTTGATACTGTATTTCTTGGGGCAGCTGGATTAAGGATGCATGGGAAGCTTATGTTTTTACAGCATTCTGTGAGTCTATAATTATTTCAAAATGCAAAGTTCACTTTTAGCCCAGAATCCCAGAACTTTCTCCTTGATTCACATATTTTTCCAGAAGCTTCTAGCTTTCTGTCATTTAGAATTTAAAGACTAAAATTTTCAGCAGTAATTTCAAACATGGTTGTAAAAGTACCTCAATAATATTTGCCATTCATACTATAAGATGCTGTGTAACTAAATCATGCATCTTTTACAGTTCTTAAAGTATGATTTATAAAAATTTTACATTAGCTGCTTAATTCCCAGATGCTAGAAACTAAAAATATAACAATAATGTGGGGCACACAGTGGTGATAGGAAAATATGTGGGACTTATTTTTACTTAATGACTCTTTTCCTTACTCATATTTAATGTACGGGTTCTTTTTTTTTAAGATTTATTTATTTATGCATCCAAGAACTGGGGTACAGGCCAGAAGTGTGGGGGGGTGAGAGGATTCACTAGAGACAGAGTGGGGAACAGAACAGGCAGACTGACTGAAATACACTGCTGAGGGGAGCAGCAGGCGAGTCAGGAGAGGTCTGCTGCGCCGTGTGGGTAGCTCCCTGGCCAGGGATCAAACTCATGCTGTAGTGGCTGGTGATAGCTTCATAGGTTGCGTCTTAACCCCTTGCGCCACCAGGGAAGCCTTGTACTGGTTCTTAAACTTGGATGTATAATGGAATTACTTGAATACTTAAAAAAAATAGGGGCCTCCCCTGGTGGCTCAGGCGGTCGAGCGCAGCACTGTGAAGCTGTCTGAAGCCTCTGCAGCGCAGGTTCATTCCGGCCAGCCGTTGAGAATCCCACATGGCGCAAGACAGACCTTTCCTGTTGTGCCCACTGCTCCCCTCAGCCTTGTGTTTCGTCAGTCTGCCTGTTCTGTTCCCTGCTCTGTCTCTGGTGAATCCTCTCACCCTCCTGTGAATCTGGCCTGTACCCTGGTTCTTGTATAAATAAATGAATAAATCTTAAAAAAAAAAATACTAATGCCAGGCCTCCCCTGGTGACACAGGGGTTAAGTCTCAGCGCTATCAAGCTATCACCAGCCTGTGGCATGAGTTTGATCTTCCACCAGGAAGCTGACCACGTGACACAGCAGATCTCTCCTGTTTTGCCTGCTGCTCCCCTCAGCAGTGTATTTCAGTAGATCCACGTGTTCTGCTCCCCACTCTTGTCTCTGGTGAGAACTCTCTCACTCCCCACCCCCACCTCTGGCCTACATCCCAGTTCTTCTATGCAAGAATAAATAAATCCTCAAAAAATAATAATAAAATAAAGAACTGGGTGACTCAAAGCAAATATTTAAAATACTTAACATTGTTTCAATATATTACTTTTGTATAGAAAAAGTTAATTTTACCATAATGTGTTTTTATTTTAAAGTCAAAAACAGGAAAGATTAGTGATAGAAGAGTATGGGGATTTGTTTCACAGGTATAGAGTTACAGTTTGACAAAAAAAGTGTGTGTGTGTATGTGTGTGTGTGTATGTATACATAGACACATGTATATGTGTATATATATATATATATATATATATGAAAATTGAATTCTAAGGGATTTGGTATCTTGACCACATTTTCCAATAGAAATTTTAAATGGTGGTTATATTATTTATTTAATTTATTTATTTATGCATACAAGAATCAGGATGTAGGACAGAGGTATGGGGGGGGTGGTGAGGATTTCACCAGACAGAGTGGGGAGCAGAACAGGTGGATGTACTGAAATACACTGCTGAGGGAAGCAGCAGGCATGATAGGAGACGTCTGCTGCACCATGTGGGTTAGCTCCCTGACCAGGGATCCAACTGGTGTTGCAGTGGCTGCCCTTAATTTGATAGCGCTGTCTTCAACCCCTGTGCCACCAGGGAGGCCCGGTGGTTAGATTCTTGAACAAGCTTACAAGATTCTATTTATATTTGATCCATAATGTAGCTGAAAGTTGTCATATTTGCAATGGTATTAACATATATCTATATATTTGATTTATATTCTATTTAAAATATACATATATATAACTATATATTTTTGCTGTGTCGTATCCTATTTAAATATATACAACTATACATCTATAAATATGATTATCTGTAAGGTATGAAATACATGGATATTTATAGATATAGTTGCATGTTTTTTAAACACTAGTGAGGTCACTGAATATTCCATATCTTCATTTCTTTATCAGTGCTATTGATTTGGTATTGTTTAATATCTAATGATAAGCACAATCTAGTGGTAAGATAGAAGTAGATCTTGGACTCCAAGATCTTGGGTCTCCAAGATATACCTTGGAGTCCAAGATAGATCCTGACCCATTTGTCAAGGACTAACTGTTTTGTAGTGTGATATGTTTAGAAATAAATATTGATAATTTAAAGAGTACTTTTAACAGATGGCAAGATACAGTCTAGGGAAATTTTGAGGTGTGTGAAATGATCCTCTTTATTTGAACAGTTGTAAAGTAACATATAATATTGCTTGTGTCTTTCAGAATTCAAATATTCCTATCCTCTTCAGTCTACAACGTGTTCTTCTCATTCTTGGCCTGTTCTTCACTGGCCTCCTGCCCTTTGTGCCCATTCGAGAACAATTTTTTGAAATCCCAATGCCTTCTATCATGCTGAAGTAAGTGGTTATCCTGTTTTCATCAGATATCAAGTATAGGGGGACGAAGATAAAGGCTCATTAATATCAATATCAATGATAAGGAATAGGTGGTTGTAGTTACTTCCATGTTTGGTTAGCTGACTTATGTTAACAATAGTTTATGATATAATCAAGACATGTTCTGTAAAATTAATTAATAATAGGTTATAAGTAAGTATCTGAGCTGGACCCATCTCAAATAACGACTCTGTGCCTGTGTACTCACAAGTCAGGTAAAAATAATTGAACTTAATTATGGGAGCATAATAATGCTGTTATTCTAATGTCAAATAACAATTGCTCTCCAACTTCCCTTACTTCTTTCTACTATTTTGAGAACAACATTCAGCTAACGTTACATTAAACTCCAAATTCACCACCAGTATTTAATATATTTAGGAAGGAAAAACAGCCACTACCACAACAACCAGAAAAACCTCTGGAGCATAGATAAGATACATCTGTATTTTCATAATTTCTCTACTGGGTACAAAACCTTGCTTTTCTCATACTAATTTACTATAAAGATAAAGATATATAAAATAGTGTTTACACATTGGAAAACTGAACAATACAGAGAAGGTTAGCATAGGCCTAGCCCAAGGATGACAGGCAAATTTGTGAAGTGTTCCATAAATATACATATATTTATATATCACTTAGTATTTTCTGGCAAATACGAAGCACTCAATAAATGATAGCTTTTATTGTTAAATTATGTTTATTAGTGTTATTATTAAAGAAAGATAGTTTCATCTACAATGGTGCATACTTAAATGTGATTTTTAGCTGTAAAATTATAATAATATCTGAATTTAAAGAATTTGGAGCTCCTGGGGAGAAATGGCCCCTCAGCTCTGCCTCTTCCTAGACACCCCTTGCTTAGGAGGTCAGGAGCAGAATTCAGACCACAGTACTGCATATGCATCTTCTCTTCCAGCTTTGGTGGTGTCTGGACATCAGAGGGTGGAGTTCAGCCCCCTTATCCTGGTGGGAAAGCAGCAGGTTTGCTACCATATTTGGGGGGAGGCAGTACTGGCTGCTCCAAGGATCACAGGGTACAGGGTACAAAGGTAGCAAAAAGTTAAGTTGAAATCAGTGGAGACAGAACCCAAATGGCCATTTTTTTTAAATTTATTTTTGTCCTTTTACAGATACTTTGTGGGCAAGGCACTGTGTGAGACACTGTTTCATTTTTGAACTTACTGTATCATACTAACAAATTCTTGTGTCTCTAATTTATGATTCAAATTTTATTTTACCTCAGGCTGAAAGAAGCACATACCATGTCCAGAGGTCAAAAGTTTCTCATCTGGCTTTCTGATATGTAAGAATTTTATTTTCTTACTATAACATATTGTTTTAGCTGCATTTATTAAATACTGTGCTTAAATTTATTGCAAGCTTCCTACTTATAATTTGTAACAAGGACATGTTGAACATAGTATACAAATATGTATGAATTATTCAGAACTAGCTTAATTACTACTCACAAAACCTTTGGAGGAATCTTGAGAGAAAGTCTTACCCAACTTTAGGAGAAAATGGAGTACCCATCCACAGCTAAATGATTTACTTAAAATTACATAGCTTGTTAGTAGAAGGGCTGGATATATAATCATTCCTTTCTACTTGTTTGATTTTTCCTCTATGCTGTGGTCAAAACATGGTAAAAAGAGGTGTATATAGCAATAAAGTATATGTAAAAGTATATATTGACACTAATGGCACATATCTCAGAAAAATCTACACCAATATTTAGAAAGGAAGACCCACCTACAAAAGGTAGAAAGACCCACCTTCTTTAAACCTAATTTAAAGAAAATACCTTAATTTTTAGACATGTTGAGTTGAATTTTAGGCAAACCCCACAAATTTATTATGCTGTATTTTGCTTTAAAATGGAAATTTTAATGTTTAAGGAATAGTCCTAAATTATAACCTTTTATTACCTTTCTCCTTTTTCAAAAAGTTGGAAAACTTTTCCAATTGTGTACCACAGTATATATGTACATACACTGACTTTCCAGCTTTTTATCTCTCTTATTATGGTACCATCAAGGAAAATGAGGAGGCCTCTTCTCCACTGAGTTGCTTCAGTAAGAATGTGTCTCCTGGGCCTCCCTAGTGGCGCGAGGGGTTAAGACGCAACCTATGAAGCTGTCCACAGCCACTGCAGCACAAGTTCGATACCCGGCCAGGGAGCAACCCACACAGCGCAGCAGACCTCTCCTGACTCGCCCACTGCTCCCCTCAGCACTGTAGTTTAGTCAGTCTGTCTGTTCTGTTCCCCACTCTGTCTCTGGTGAATCCTCTCATCCCCCACACCACTGGCCTGTACTCCAGTTCTTTTATGCATAAATAAATAAATCTTTATTTTTTTTTATTCATACAACAACTGGAGTACAGGCCAGCAGTGTGGGGGGTGAGAGGATTCACCAGAGACAGAGTGGGAAGCAGAAAAGGCAAAGTGAGTAAAATACACTGCTGAGGGGAACAGCGGGTGGAGTCAGGAGAGGTCTGCTGTGCCATGTGGGTTACCTCCCTGGCCGGGGATCAAACTTGTGCTGCAGTGGCTGCAGACAGCTTCATAGGTTGCGTCTTAACCCCTTGCGCCACCAGAGAGGCCCTAAATAAATAAATCCTTAAAAAAAAAAAAAAAAATGAGTCTTCTGAGGATCTAGTGGTAAAAAGAAGTAAAAAAGGAGATTCTGGTTGTTAGCCAGCAAGTATACAGATGTGAAAGCAGATCTAGAAAATGTATCCACTACAGCAGCTATTATTACTGGCTGGTATTGCTGAAGCATTGGGATTAAATTCAAGTAGGAATTATAAACTCTAAATTGACTAAATCAGGACTAAGGACTAATTCTAATTCTTTGCTGGGGCTAAGAAGTACCTAAATCCATTCTGCTTTTCTTTTCCAGTTTACTAATGAGAAAAGCATTGTTTGACCACCTTACTGCCCGAGGCATTCAAGTAAGTTTCTGGGATGATGAATTTTGGAAACCCCAAAGCTTGCCAGTTTAACACAAGTATAAAAGTCAGGAATTTGTAACTAATTTAATTTGGTCCAGAATCTAATGATATTGCCTGACTTGTTCACAGTGTAATACTTTAAACTCTGCCTCACAGTTAAAAAGAAAGCATTGGTATTTCTGTATCTAGAATCCTCTTATGTATATTTGAGAATAGCCAAAATCAGAGGGAGGAAACTGCATATTTAATGAATAAAGTGGAATTTCTAGAAATAATTAATTTATTTCTTAAAATTACATATTTTAAAGATTATTTTGAACTGAGATTACAGTAGATAAGTTCTCTTATAAAAATAATTTTCTATTTTAACATTTCTTCACATACATCTCATGCTTCTAATTTTCAGGTATATATCTGGGTATTAAATGAAGAGCAAGAATACAAAAGAGCTTTTGACTTGGGAGCAACTGGGGTGATGACAGATTATCCAACAAAGCTGAAGGATTTTTTACATAATTTTTCCACATAGGAAAGGAGGTACTCAGTAGCAGTCAAGAAAAACATGGAAAGACCTAAGAGAAAATATTTCACCATCCTTTCCCAAAGCCATTGTTTCCAAATGGTAAAAGGTTTAATCAGTTGTTTTAAATTACCTCATTTTTAAACCTGTCTGAGAATGTAGAAATTATATATTGTATATTTATTTTAAACAATATTGCATATTTTACATTTGTAAATAGTTTGTTAAGAAAGATAACTGGTTATGAGATGTAAGTAGATTATTGATCAAGATTTCTGTTTATGATTCAGTATTCTACTATTGTAAGTAATTCTGAAATCAAAGACTTGGATAAATTTGCCATTAGCCTTCACTGAATAAGATCAACTAGTTAGTAAAACAAAATTATTGAAGGCTGTGAAAGCTATTCTAAGTTGTCCTGTTATTCCTAAGTACATCTTAGTGAAAGGTGGAAAATATAATGGAAGGAGAGCTTGGAAATCAGTGATATAGTTTACCTGGCAAGTTGTACTTTGTTAACAGAAGATAAAGAAATAACGAGAAATTTATTACTTGATCAGAATCAAAATCTACATACTGAAATAGATGTCTTAGTGGTTGTTAACAGGGACATTCTATTTGGAATCATTTTCAGGTGTATAACAATTCTACCCTTTCCTTACTTTTGATACACATTAAAATTGGATTTATCAATTGTAAATTATAGTAAGATCCAAATAGTCATATTTTTGTTTCCTCTAAAGAAATGTAAAATACCCACTTTTGTCAGTGACTAATTGTTTGGGCCTACATCTAGATTTTAAGCAGCATCTTGAATCCTAATAATCACATGAAACTGTTGGAAGTACCTATCATTGTTTCTGACACTTAGAGTATAAACCAACTGTTCTTACTTTTTTAAGAATGTATTCTTCTAAGTATTAAATGGTGACAAAATTTTCCAAATCATTAGGCATCATTTTTGTCAGCTTTTCTGATGTGATTTCATGTAAATCTGTTCCTAATATTTTTCTTATTTTCATTATCTCTTTGGAGGTAAATGTTATCCGGAATAATAAATGTCCTTTACCTAGATTATATCTCACATTTGGAGTTTGCCACCTAACAGCTGTGAAGGATGATCAAACTCGCGCGTCTATGTTGGGATGACATAAGTAACATTTGATTTTTTGTTTAAACTGAAATAAAATTTTCCACAAACAAATAGGGGTTCTTCATTTTTTTACATTTATATTACCAGAGAAAGGTAATAGATTTTTTTCAGAATTTAATGAGGTAATAAAATGATAATATAAGTAAATGTATCTGAGATTTTTCTCTCTAGAGTACAGAAAATAAAAAGAAAATATGGAAATACTTTTATGGTAAAGAAGTTGCTTCTTGGCATTTAAACAAATAACTTGCAGGTAATCCATTTTTATTTTCACTTATAACTTGTAATAGTTGCTGGGAATCATTTTGACATCATTCTTTTATTTATCCTTTCCAAATTTTGCTTTGTTGTGATTCTGAGCGTTGGAGGGCTAGCATATATTTTGTGTCAAACAGCAGAAGATAAAGTACTCAGTATGGTAAAGATGTTTAGAAAGTCACATTTTAATTTTGATGATTTTAATTGGCCTAATAAAAGTATAGTAGCTGTAAGGAGTATTTATATCATTATATAACATAAATATTGCTTTTCCTGATTGGAGCATCATGTTTTATTTATTTATTTATTTAACATTTATTTATTCGTGCATAAAAAAGCTGGGGTGCAGGCCAGAGATGCGGGGGGTGAGAGGACTCACCAGAGGCAGAGTGGGGAGCAGAACAGGGAAATCTACTGAAATACACTGCTGAGGGGAGCAGCGGGCAAGTCAGGAGAGGTCTGCTGTGCCATGTGGGTTACCTCTCTGGCCAGGAATCGAACCTGTGCTTCAGTGGCTGCGGACAGCCTCACAGTGCTGTCTTAACCCCCTGCACCACCAGGAAGGCCTGGAGCATCATGTTTTAAAAGAGGTTAAGTACCTTTTCATTTTGAGATGTTACTACGTGAACAGCATGGAGAGAAAGGCTACAGAAGTGGTCGAAAGATTAGACCCTCTGGGATAAGACTGGCACTAGACTTGTCAGACCCAGCTATAGGTCTAGTCCAGCAT